TCATAAGGAGACAGACCGTGAAGACTTTTGTGAGGAGACATCCTCATGTCTGCTAAAACGAGAGGTAGCAAGGCGAGCCAATTTGAGTGCCCTGCATGTTGCATAGCCTTTCTTAATTTGTCCTTGATGGTCCTATTAGTTCGTTCTATTATGCCAGATGATTGTGGATGACAGGGAATATGTAGCTGCCAATTAATTTGGAGTTCTTTAGCTAGATTTTGTATTACTTTCGCAGTAAATGAGGTTCCCTTATCTGAGTCTATGGCACATGGTATACCATATCTTGGAATGATTTCTCTTGTCAAACATCTGACAACTGTATTAGCATCTTCCTTACTGCATGGGAAGGCTTCAACCCATTTTGAAAATTTGTCCACAAAAACCAATAAATATTTATTAGGACCCCTCTTTGGCAGATGTGTAAAATCTACCTGCCATTCCTGAAAAGGTGTTTCAGGGAGGGGCAATTGTTGATGTTTAGCTTGAGGTTTAGTGATATTATTTTGAGCACATATCAGACATCTATCTAGCGTGTTATTGACATGATGCTGTAAATTATTGATGCATCTATTAACTCATTGTGTCTATTAACTCATTGTGTCTATTACCCCTCTTCGGCCGCGGTGTGTAACACCGTGAAACTCGCGGACGAGAAAAGGTGCACAGGATGATGGCAGGCATAAACGGCCTTTGCCATCTAGCATTATTCCATTAGGATCGGTCGTGGCGTCACATTCAGACCAGTAAGTATGGTATTAAGTATTTAGTAAGCTGCTGTTTTAGATGTATTAGGAGCTCCTCCTGATCATCTTTCCACGCGAGGCGTGTTTTTATACGAGTACGTGTCTTTTATCATCTGTTTCTTCCTTAACAGTTTCTGTTTGTACTATATCAAGCTTGGGATCAAGAGCAGGTATTTTTGTTGTTATTTCGTCATCATCATAGGACGAACCCATTTTGGTTTGGAGGATAAATCGATAATCTGCGCCAACCAACTGGCAGTGGCGCGAACTGCGCAACAGCATGTCTACAAATTGCAGTGGTTTGTCCACTTCGGGCAGAAGAGATATGAGATCTTTAAGAACAGAGGGTGAGGGCGGAATTATCTCTATCCCTCGTGGTTTAGCAACCCACACCGCAGCCACATTAGAGGCTGAAGTAGTGCCCTCCGTGCTGTCGGAGGGGTCTGGTTTAGTTTTAATCATTTCTGTCAGAGACGGATAAATAGAAGATATTATAGGGGGAGCGCTAGCAGCAGAGCATGAAACTGCAGGCTGAGGCCCCGTATAAGGGGGTGGTGACGTCATGGTGGTTTTAGCAGCTGCGAGAGAGCCCCTCTTATCTGCCTCGCGGGCAGTATTGCTTCTGCTTTTGGGTTTGGGGACAGATTTCAAAACGGTTTTAGGTGTAAAAATGCCCTTTTTATCTCTCCATATAGAGCTCATTGTATACCATGTGTCATATCCATTCATCATATACTGATCATCCCATTCTGGATCCCCATATCAATTTGTAAGCTAACTGAAGGAAACCTGGGTCAAATGTTCCTTCCCTAGGAAAGTCTCTCCATTGAGATTGTCCCTCTGTCCACCCAGCTAAATTGGACAGCCAGGGTTCAGTGTAAAATCCCCACCCACATCTATCCATCCATTGCTTTGGACTCTCACTGGGTTCTGGTTTTGGATATCCTTGTCCCATATTGCTGAAGCTGGTGCGTAATACTTATTTACTAAAATTTATTAAACCCCTGATTTGTGGAACCCAAATTTAATCGGGTACAACAACACAAATCCTTCTGTGCAATTTACTGTTTGAAGTAAACTTGACAGGATAACCAGTGTCGAATTAAGAAATTTTCCTGATTTGTGGAACCCAAATTTAATCGGGTACGACAACACAAATCCTTCTGCGCAACTTACTACCGCATAAGTAAGTGACAGGATACTCTGTGCCAGTAACACAGACATCAGCTGCTTGTGGAACCCAAATTTAATCGGGTACAACAACACAAGTCTTACACAATCCCCTGAGATACACCGGAACAGGCAGTGTGAATAAAAATTCTCTTACCTGATCAGATGTATCCCGGACGAGCCCCCAGATCTGTAAGATTTCCCCTATATTAGGCCTCAGATTCAGCAAAGTTCAGCAGGTCGACCCGGAGACATGAGAAGAGACCAAACTGTAGTTAGAATGGTTTATTCTGCAAGCCTGACAACACAGGATGGACAGGGATATTTATACACAGGGGCTGATAGCAGAAAGGCACTCCAAATATGGGCTAGTCATACAGCATTTTGTCTTAACATGAATCAGCATATTTCATATCTGAGCATAGTGGAATTTTCCAGCGTGGGTGAAGCTGCGAAATGAAACCAGACCATGGTCTCATATTTCTAACACCTGCAAGACTGAAACCAGACCATGGCCTCATATTTCTGACATATACACACATATACACAAAACCACAAGCACTTCTGCACGTAGCTGCAAGCACACTAAAAAGAGGACAAAATGTTCTCTCAATGCTGGATTGATCAACAAACATCTCCTGGATGATCTTCACAGCATCTTTCTCCTCTTGGGTGAACCGTCCCAGAGAAATCACCAGCAGAAACACATGTGGTCCTGGTGCTGCCACTGACATATACTTTACAATCTCTTTCCTGGTCTCAACATTATTAGTTCCAGTGTCAAACAGGCCTGGAGTGTCACACAGGTATGTGTTAGTTGCTGAACTCAGCGGTCTCTTTCTGACACTCTCTGGTCACCAATTGTGAATTCAGAACTGATTGAAAAGCTTTTCGTCCCAGTATAGTGTTTGCTAATGCACTGCATTACCCTTTGAGCTAATTCACAATATCCAAGCTAAGAGTGAACATTCCCAGAATATTCAGTAACATTCCTACAAATGTTCTTAAATGTTAGCACATAACATTCCTAAAAAGTGTATTTTTTTAATTATTATTATTACAGACATAAAAAAGTACTTGGAACAACATTATTAAAACATCTTTAGGATGTTAATTGTACTTAAACATTTGTATAATGTTGATAGAAAATTAGTGACTAGAACACTATAAAACCTTTTAATAACGTTCTTATAACAAAACATTAACATTAATTAACAATTAACGCCTGCTTACTGGAAAGGTTTAAAGCCTTAAATTCATAAACAGATGGTAATTTATGATGACAACGCCAACCTAGAAACTTTTATTAAGAAAGCCATCAGTGTGTCACAGCACCTCTCTCTGTCCATCCTCTTCGTCTGTTTACCCTGTTTCAACCACTAGAGCTCCATCACCACCACCAAACCTGAAAGAACTCAAGATCACAGATGCCTTCCATCTTGAGTTCGCCGAACGACTGTGGCGCATCTGAAATCGCCTCTGCCTATACTGTAGAGAATCCAACCATCTCATCTCGGCCTGACCAGTTCGCCCGCATCGCCAAATGGTAAGTAAAGTTTCTCTTACCCTCTATGTGTCCCATATACCACATATACAAGCTCAATTAATTATAAATTGTAATATCATCCCTATACATGTCCTGGTGGATTCCAGAACAGCTGGCAACTTCATCTCTTCAAATTTCATAGCCCAACATCATATTCCTACAGTACGTAACGAAACTCATTTCATGGCGTACCAGAGAAGTAATCACACAGTTCAAATGTCATCTGGAAAAATGAATCCTACTTATTCTCCCCCAAGCCAATGTAGATGTTATCTTTGGCAGGTCGTGGCTCACCGAACATCAGCCTGATATAAACCACGTTCAGCCACGTCTAGCTTCTTCTTCGTCGCTAAGAAGTATGGACGACTGAGGCCTTTAGCTAGAGGTATAGATTAGAGGGTCTTGAATGCAGCCACAGTCAAATTCGCCTACTTCCAAAGCACTAACAATCTTATAAGTATCCTGGAAGGGGATGAGCGGAAAACGGCTTTCATCACCTTCTTTGACCACTATGAGTACCAGGTGATGCCCTATGACCTCCATATTTCAAAGTTTTATGAATAAGATCTTCAGAGACTTCCTCCATCGTTTTCTTATAGTTTACATAGATGACATCTATATGTATTACCGTAATCTAGCAGAACATCAATTTCATGTTCATAAAATCCACCAACGTCTTAGAGAGAACCATCTCTTCTTGAAAGTCGAAAAATGTGAGCTCCGCCCAACCCTCGTTCTCCTTCCTTGGATCAAAACACATTTCTTTTTTTCTTTTTTTATTTCCTGAGGGTAAAATAGGATCCAAATCCCAGTGGTTTTAAGGGCCACCACAACATGATGTAACAGTATGGTTTTCTCCACCCATCTAATTGATTGACAGACGAATAATAACGTCTCCATAGTAACATGTATAAACATATCCACAGGACAGGATTTGCAAAGAAACTGGGATTAAAAGATCTGTACAACTATATTATTAGCTGCACTTCAAGTAAGAGTTTTACAACTTCAAAACGTTTTTAAAACAGAGCATGTTTATAATAAGAAAAGACATGTTATACAAGGCCGCTGCAAGTAGACATGCAACCTTGCTTGAATAAACTGATAACAAATATATAACATAAACTTACTTGCTATATTTGACTCATAAGTTCATAAAATGAATCCTACATCTGCTTCATCTGTGTCTGTTTCTGTCTGTAATGTGAATCAGACACTGAGAACAGAGGTGCGGATCCAAATGCAGGTTTATTAAGAATAGTCAAGCAACAGTCAACACAGGAGCAAATAGATGTATACGGGCAATCCAGAGTCGTAGTCAGATAACAGGCTAATGTTCGGAAGGCAGGCAGCCTATAATATAAACAAAAAAAAACAAAACAAAGGTCTAACAGGGCAGGCAAGGCAAGGAAAACGAGTCGTAAAGTTCACATAAACAGATCAACAAGACTCAGCAATGATGTGTATATGTATGCTTTTTAAATAGTAGCCCAAGCTGTGTGTTTGCAATCTGTCAGGATCAGGAACCGGTGTGAGTGTGTGTGGTGCATGACTGGAACTGTAGTCCATAAAATGGCAGATTTGTAGTTCTCTGTGATCTCTGTGTTCACCAGCAATCTGCCTATGCGGGATCGCTGGTGACCATGGAACTGTCACTGACTGCTGTTTATGTCATGCAGCAGGAGAAGCAGGCACATATGTGGTAACAGTGAGTGGGGAGAACCAGCTCATTTGCATTTAAAGGTACAAGCTATAAAAATTGCTACACTTTGCACTGAGGTCAAATTGGGCAGATTCTTCTTGTATATGAATTAATCTGATGGGTATTTTAAGCTGAAACTTTACAGACTCATTGTGGAGACACAAAAAACTGATCTTGCATCTTGTAAAAGGATAAAATAGAAGCCCTTTAACATTACTAATAGAAAGCAGTAGTTATAAACAGGAAAGGTGACCATCACAGAATGTTACAGGTGGATTTATTCTTCATTCTTTCAACTTCTCGTAGTAAGTCCTCTTCTTTCTTGTCTTGCAGGTGTTGGTAAAGTTTCTCCAGTATTTGATGTTGTTTCTGTTGTTCCTCCAGCATCTCTTTGAGCTCCTGAATGTGCTGCTCTTTTTTCTCTCTGAAACTATTCAGTTCTTCTGCTTGTCTTCTGGCCTCAACTTCATGTTTCTTCTTTATCTGTTTTATTTCCTCTTCATGTTTCTGTTTCATTTCATCTCTCTCTTTCTCTTCTCTCTTTTGCCTGTCTTTCTCCTCTGCTTCTCGTCTACCTTTCTCCTCTTCTTGCTCTTGTTTCAGATCTTCAATCATTTTCTTCCATCTCTTTCTCTCGTCTTCTCGTCTCTCTTCATCTTCATGTTTTCTTCTCTCCCACTCCTCTTTTCTCTCTCGTTCCAGTCGTTCATAATGTCTCTTTGTCTCCTGTCTCTTTTCCTCATATTCTCTCTCCTTTTCTTCTCTTTCTCTTCTCTGTTTCAGTCTCTCCTCCTCCATCTTCTGTCGTTCTTCTTCTCTTTCTCCTTCAAATCTCTTTCTCATTTTCTCCAGTTCTTCTTGTTTTTCTCTCAGTTGTTCTTCGTGTTTCTCTTTTCTTTTTCTTTCTTCTTCCTCTCGTTCTCTCAACCTTTGTTTCTTCTCATCCTCCCATTCTCTCTGCTGTCGTTTAATTTCCTCCAGAATCTCTTTTCTGTCATTTTCAGCTTCTTTTGTTCTTCTTTCCCACCTCTGTCTTTCCTCCTCTTCTTCCTTGTTCCTCTTTTGATTATCATATTCTTTCTTCTTTATTTCCTCCTCTTGTTTTCTCTGTACCTCTGCTATAATTCTCTCTTGATCATTTCTCATCTTGTCTTGGTCTTGTCTGTATTTCTCTTCTCTCTTTCTGTCTTGTTCTTCTCTTTCTTTCTGCTGTTGTTCATACTGTGATCTCTGATTTTCTTTCTCTCTCTTCATTTCTTCTATTATCTGATCATATTCAGCTCTCTGCTGTTTTTCCTCTTCTGACCGTTTCTGGTTTTCAATCTCTCGTTTCTTCTGTTCTGTTTTCTCCTTCTCTTCAAACTCTTTTCTGAGTTTTTCCTCTTTCAGCTTCAGTTGATTCTCAATTTTCCTTCTCTCCTCTTCTGCTCTTTGTTTCTCTTCTTCGAGTCTCTTCATCTCCATCTCATATTTGTCTTGTAACTCTTCTCTCTGTTTCTGAATCTCTGTCTCTCTCTCCTTCATAATTTCCTCCATTTTCTTCTTAATGGACATCTCTGCCTCCTCAAACATGTCATTAGTGAAGTATTGACCCTGATTATTACTCTTCACCTCTTCTATCATCTTTAACAGCTTCATCACTTGAGTTTTGTCTTGTTTTTCTCTGTTATTGAAAGCCAGAAGTCTGTTCCCACAATCTCTGATCAGTTTCTTCAGTTCTGCATTGTGTCCTTTCCTCACAAAATCCTCTATAGATTGATCTTTAAGTTCATCTCCTCTGGTGAACAGAACGATGCTGAACTGAGCAGCTTTTTGACCAAATATCTTCTTGATCAGATCAATAGTGTCTGTCTCCTCTTTGGTGAATCTTCCCACACTCACCACAATGATAAACACATGAGGTCCAGGAGCTGACAGTGAAACACATTTCACTATTTCTTCCACCACTTGATCATTTGTCAGTGTTGTGTCGAAGAGTCCTGGAGTATCAACAACAGCTACTGATCGACCATCAACTTCTCCAACTCCTTTCTCACAGACATTCGTCACTGAATCTGGCCTTAACTGGCTGCAAAATTCCTCTCTTCCAAGAATAGTGTTTCCTGTTGCACTCTTTCCACTTCCTGTTCTTCCAATCAACACAATCCTGAGACACTGCAGATCTTCTGTACAATCAGCACCTGAAAATCAGGCATCCATTAATACCATAAAGGTCTATTTCTGCTGTTTCCCACTTCATATCTTAATAAAAGAAATAAAATACCTAAAATGAACAATATCACTGATGGTTACCATTACTGAATTCATTGGCATTGTTACATTATTGTGAATGCCCACAAAAACATCATAACCATTGGAAATACAAACCAGTGAATGTAATAGAAGTTAGGTGCTTGATCTGGAATTTTTGCAATTACTATGATTTATTTTTGCTTGTTTAAATGTCTAAAAGTTACATTTTGCACCTCTAATACAATTAAAAATCCAAATCTTATTTACTGCCATTCAATCAGATGGAGCAGGTAGAGTTTACCCACTCCACCTTGCATTTTCACCCTTTTGTTGTCCTGGATGTCACATTGTGAAAATGTCTTGCATTTTTCTTAGTCTGTTTCAGGCTGAAAATCATGATAGGAATTTTTTATTTAATTTTTTTGCAAACCATGTCTTTTAACCAAAATACTTGACTTCCACTCTCTCTCTCTGTCTCTTATTCTTTATGGAATTAGACCGACTCAACCCTTTATTTTTTACTCTTGGAAAATATTTGTACATTTGATGACTTGTTTTCTATACAAATTTTTGTTGTTGGGCTTTAAATTTGTTAAGTAACTAGCTAAATAAACTAAACTAGCCATTTATATAAGCAGGAAAATAAGCTTAAAAGACGAAGTGGTAATAACTTTATATTTGATGAAATCATGTGTTGATTGAAATGGGGAATTGTGTTAGTAGGATTTAGTTTTTACATATTTAATTTAGAACTTTTTTTCTATAGTTCTTGTGATTTTGCAGACATGCAAAAAATAAACAAAGCAGCGTCCAGTACAAGTCTCACAGTAATTGTCCTCACCACAGGGGTATTCATTCCTGCAAACATGTCTGTTAATCTGATAAAACACTTCGTCTGCAACTATTTGAGAAATATAGTGAAATTACAGCTGGCCTCTTTGTGTTCCTTCTTGACTTGAATTCAGATTTGTTCTCACGCTTTGATTCGTTGCTGAACAACCAATCAGAGCACTCTCTTCTCTTTTGTTTATTCATAAATTACCATTGAAATAGCTAAAATAGAGTTAATTTGTTATACAGACTTAGTGCTCAGTTTGCTTTAGTTACACACTGTAATGCTACTCATGTTTTTTTCAGTGGTTATATTAAAATAATATTAAACATATTTGAAAATTCCAAATAAATGAAGTATTATGCAATTGACTGAACAGTCAAGGGACTCACTGGATGCGCTGCTCATATGACAGTTGGAAGCCAATGGTCATTCTTGCATGTGTATGTGTGTGTGTGTGTGTGTGTGTGCGTGTGTGTGTGTGTGTGTTTGTGTGTGTGTCTATGCGCGTCACAGGTATTGGTGATTTTGCTTTGGAGGCCTTGTGGGCCCTTTTTTTTCTTGCTGTCACGTCTCAGCTCCTGCACCCTAGATTCAGGTTTTTTTATAATAAAAAGTTTTTTTATAAAGTCACGTTTGTGACTCCAAATTCACTGAATTATTTTTAGAGAGAAGTCTGACTTATTACCAGCAATGTCTATCAAACTTCTGCGCTGGCCATACAACCAGATGGCCATTAACAGTGTCTCTTTTGTTTTTTTCCTAAAATAAATTAATAAATATGGAAGAAACAATGGATACAACTTGATACAGATGATGAATGAGAAAGAAATCCAAAGGACTGGTGCCAAAAAAATGCTACTTGCTACTTTTTTAACTTGTCATTGATTACGTTTACATAGACATCAGTAACCAAATTATTTGTCTTATTCTATTTAAGACAATAATATGATTAAGGTGTTTACATGAGTTGCTGTTTGAATGTTCCTGCCATAATCTCATTTTACATGTTATAGCTCATAATTTGATTAATGTCATTAAGGGCCTACTCACACTATGCCATCCGTACTGTGCCCAGGCCCGTTTCCCAGATCGTTTGAGAAGTGTGAGTGCGCTGAATCGGGCTCAAGCACTGTTCACTTGGCCGGCCCTGGCCCGGTTAGAATGAGGTGTGCCTAAGCGCGGTTCACTTGGGCTTTGGCACGGTACACTTGTGTGCGAGTGCAAAACGCGCCAAAGCCCGAAACTGAAAGCGAGACGTGACTTTTAAGGGACTGTTTCATATGGATTTATTAATCATTCTTACTGTTCAGTGAACGCAAACTGCCGTAGTTTATTAAAGACGAGAACCCCTCACAGCATGACAGCTGCACCTTCAGCAGACCTCCTCATTCCTGCAGCACGAGAGCTTTATGATTGTTTATGAGCGCCAAAAGTGGCGGATCTGTACGGCGAAATATCTGACTGCGTGTCACTGCATCCCTAAGGACTGTTTGGTGAAATATTTGACTGCATGTCACTGCATAACAAACGACTGACACAATATAACTAGAGAAATCTCCACTGTGCTGCTGAGTGAGAGAGCGCTTCACTGAACAGTGCAGCAGCGATGACGTAAGCGTGCCGAGGGCCATTTGTGGTGTGAGTGCGGGCCGTCAGGGGAGACGGGAGGGGGGACATGTGTGCTTTGGCCCGGTTCGAGGCAACTGTACCTAGTGTGAGTACAGCCTAAGCCATGCTGTCCATGTTTCCTCTGGATTTTCATGTAATTTCAGGTGTTTCATTTTTAATTTGGGGCTGGGCTGAGCTGGGCTACTTATTAGAATTATGAGAGATGTCAGCCCGACTCTATTTAATTGGATGAACATTTTTTAGTTTTATGCCTTACCCAAAATAAAAAAATACATATAAACACATATAGATCATCTACTTCAATCAATTCTATTAGACTGTGAAGTAACTTTTAACCAGCACAACAAAAAATGCTTCTGAAGACATGTGGGTACAATTGTTTTAAACCCATTTTATATTAATGTTTGAATTGTCACAGTTGCAGGTTTGTGCGCTCTTCCGGAGTGTCTGTTTGATCATGTGGGTTTGGTTTGTTTTTGTTGCCCACGTGTATTTGTTTTGGTCACGTGTTATGATGGCACTCAGTTGGATTGATTAGTTCGCCAGCTGAGGTTCATTATCGTGCTTTATATGTGCAACGTTTTCTGTGTTTCCTTGTCAGTTTGTTACGTGTGCTTATGTGTTCGTTTGTCTGTGCTCAGGACCGTACGGAGTTACCACTGGACCCTGTTTTTCCGTCTGATCCCTGCTCTGGTTTCTCCTAGCCCTAGCACTGCATTCACTTGTTACTTTTACCTTGACTGTGTCAATAAATATTGTCTTCACTTGCACTTGGATCCATCTGAATATTCTTTTTTTGTGACAAAAATCACCTACTGCACCTTTAGGTCATTTACTTTTAGGCAAATGTACATTTTTCAACACCTAAATTATACCTGTGACCTAATTGATCAAGTGAAAAGAAATTTACTTAGAGATCATTGATGGATTGTGGAACTCTAGCTCTGATTCTACATTACCAGACTTTCAAGAGAAATATTGCTACATTCTGATTCAGATGCAGAAGCTTAAAAACACTCACCTTCTGTCTGACCCTTCTCTTGAAGCTCTTTGATTTTATTCTCCAGTCTCTTCAGTTCTTCTTGATATTTCTCCTCTGCTTCACGTCTGCCTCTGTTTTTCTGAGCTTTTACAAACATCTGAGGTGAATATGGTTGAATCTTCGTCTTCTCTATATACTCTAGCAGGTGTGGGATCTGTTTTGAGCTTGCAGGTTCTTTTAGACCCATGACACAGTACAGACCTCCACAATGACTGATCAACTTTTGACATTCTGGCCTGGATTTTATGAAGTCTCTCACTGGACTTTTACTTGTGCCATCATTGATAAATATCACTATGATATGTTGCTTGGTGTCAAATATATTCAAAACCTTTTCTACTTCCAATTTGTCTCTATCAGTCAGTGATCCAACAGGAATAATGAGGAGGAAAGCATGAACTCCAGGATGACAAAGAGACACACAGCGGAGAGTCTGACGCATCACTTCATCTTCTGAGAGACGACTGAGAGCTGGAAGCTCCAGCAGACTGATATGATGACCATGAACCTTCTCTTTCTTAAAAAACTCTTCACTGCTTACTCTCTGGTGTGGTGTACTGATCGGTTTTCCTCGTAAAAGTTTGGACACTGAGACTTTAAGTTCTCCATCACTTCCACACAGCACCAGATTCAGCTTCTGTTTTCCAGAGCTATATTTTGGCACTTGAAAACATAAAAAGACATAGAATTTTCTAAACACACACATACAAAGCAAAATACTTGCTCTTAATAGTTTAATATACTTACAGCTGGTGCGAATCCACTCTCGTATATCAACTGTAAAAAAAAAAAAAAAGGGTTTTACAATGTATAAATGCTGTAGCAAGTTAATTATGTGGCACTCATTTCAGGAGTTTCTCTATACCCAGATGTCCATGTGATAGGACGTCCATAACAAAAAATATCCATAACAAATGTGTAAAAACAGAGTTACTACCATTGGCATTTACATGGCAGTATGGTGCTCACTGGTTTAATTTCTAAACTGCTCTTAAAATGTAGCTTCAACAGGCTTTAATGATCCCACCAAAAAGAGTCAAAGAAAAACTTCAACAAACAATGTAAATTTTTAAAAACATTTTAGTTTTTTTATTGGACCACAAAAGCTCATCCTGCACAAGCTTTGGGAAGCAACATTACACAATCACATTAGGTCACGTATGACATATGCAGAGGAGAATATTTTAAAAGTTTGAGCAGTTTATTTTGTTTCATAAGTCAGGGTGTTTTCTTATAAAACCTGTCGCTCAACAATGTATAGTGGATGAATCAAATCTGCCAGTTCCAGCTTGAGCAGTAATAGTGTGTATACTCCCCGTAATGTCAGGTACTGGACCAAGCTGAGACGCAGATCTTTCAGAGCCAGAGGGGGCACTGACAGCTTGCTTTCAACATGACATTACTGACAACAAACTATCAGTCATTAAAATAATAGTATAAATGTGTGTTTGTCCAAATCTGTGTTAAAAATGCTAGCACAAAAGGGTTGCATTTACATTTTTGTTGTGCATTTGCCCACATGGACGCACCAGTTGGACATCCACCAGTTGTAAGTCTACATCTGAGATGGAACTACTGTATATTATCGATTACATTTACGCATTGCGTGGTTTTGTGAAATAATCAATCACTGACTCTTAACAATCTAACTAGCCTTTAGTTTAAAAAACTAGGGGGAAAAAAGGAAAAAAGAAAAAAAACATTTTCCATAGGGTGGGCATGTTGCTTTTGTCATGTCTTTGACAATGTGCCACTGAATTAAAGATATTAACAAACAACAGCAACAAAATAACTAGTAATAGCCTAATGGTCTGACTCTCAGGATGGCTTGTTAAAAATTATTGGAAACTTTGTTTAAATTTATTTTTATTTTATTTTTTTATTAAAATCTCATCTATATATCTCTCATCTCTATAGACACAGAGATTCTGAAAACTTACCTAACGTTCCTTCATTTCTCTTGCTCTGTTTGGGATTTCCATCATTATCATGATAAGAAAGATGTTTGTTTACTTCTGATCTGGATGAACGCAAAGATCTGCTCTGCTCTTCTTCCTCAGACACTTCTTTAGCATCTTCATATACCTCACAAGTGACATAGTAATCTTCGGTATCTTTCAGCATCATATCAACTCTATTCAAGATCTCAGCAGGCCAATCTGGTTTTCTCTCTTTAAGCAGCAAATGTCTTCCTCTGCACACATTTATTATCTGGGAAATAGCTGTGTTCATGTGTGAGTGGTGTGTCTCTTTATCAGTGGTGATGATGATGGTGTGTTTAAGTGCATCTTCACTGAATGTGTTGAGCACATGTTTAACTCTTGTCATGTCGTCCTCTGTGAAGTCTTTATACTGTAGTACGAGTATAAACACATGAGGTCCTGGATCAGACATTTCTACACACTCTTTGACTGTCTGTGTGATCTGATGAACTGAAGTGTCTGGATTCAGCAGATGAAGAGTGTTAATGACCGCCACATGTCTGTCATTCACCACTCCACTTATTTTCAGCACATTGTGCTGCTTTAAATATATAAATTGAACACTCTCATTCACATCTATTCCCAGGATTGAGTTTCTGACTCGGCTGTTTTCTGAAATATTCTTTCCCAGAAGAACAATCCTCAGAGCTCTCTCTGAAACACAAAAACAACACATTATGCAAAGATAAATACCCAAATATGTCACATCTCATACCACAGTTTGGACTAAATTTAAAAAAAAAAAAAAGTTCACAGCATTATAAAGATGAAGAAATTTGAAGGCTTGATACTGATTTATATCATCCAATGAAATCAAGGGTACACGTTAAATGTATTCATGAAATTGTGCTTTATTGTTGTCTAAATAGTTTTGATTTGATCTGTTGACATTAATCATTAACTTAATATCTGAAACTTTCTGTAATAATAATTTCGGTTTCAACTGACTATACATGAAAATAGAAAAATTTAAGAATGTAAAAAATGAGCATAAGAATGTTCCTGTATTAATCGAGTGTCTCCTAAAAGCCCTGACTAATTTTTATGTGAAGGGTTAAGGAAATCTAAAAATCTAAAAGTTTATGTTAAACTACCTCTACAATTAGGTATATTACCTCTTGTTGGTAGTTGGAAGCAACTGTGGGAATTACCGTCAAATTCCTGACAGCCACTTTCAGTTTTCCTTGATTCATGGCCTTCCTTTTTTACCAACTGTCTGTCATCAGAATCTGCTGCTCTGCTGTCCAGCGATGAGTACTGTTGTCCAGAAATCATTTCCTCAATTTTTTTAATAAATGAAGAATGCCGTGTGTTGTGAAGCTGCAGATGTCCTCCTCCACATTCTGTAGATATTTCCTGAAATAACTTATTTTCTTGTGCAGATCTCAGTCCAGCTTGACCTGGCTCATCATCAGTAGTCAGGATTAGTGTGCGCTTCATTGCCTGCTCACCAAAGCAGTTCAACACTGAAGGTAATCGATCTCTCTGCTCCTTACTGAAATCCCTGTGCTGCAGCACCAGTATGATCACATCAGGTTCTGGAGAAGACAGTGCTGATGCTTTCTGTATGATTGCTTGTAAATTGAGTTTTGGGTTGAGCAGGTGAGATGTGCTGATGACTGTGATGTTTCTGCCCTCTACTCTTTCACTGAACTCCTCTACAGTAGATGAAGGCGCTTTCCTTTCAAATGCTTCTTTATTTAAGATTAAGTTTACAACTCTGCGGTTTTCTTCAATACTCTTCCCCAGCAGGACAATCCTCAGATCACTCACTGAAACACAAATCACATACGACAGTTTTTGAGAACAAATGCTGTAATCTTTAGTGTTAAAGTTTAGTGATTATTAAGAGCAATTATTATTTTTCAGATACAAAGAAACTATAGATTTATAAAATGAGACTACTATGAACTTTTTATTTATGTACTTACTGTTGGGACGACTATCAGGGGGACTATGCTCCCTCTTGCTTTCTACAATGTAACAAACAAACAAATAATTAGTCGACAAAGAAACATGAAGAAATGCACAAATAAATGCACAACTGAACGTGTAAGATCGTAGGATTTTTCATTATTAAGGGTATAACAGTACATGTTTTTGTCCCAAATGGCTCGTTTCCACTGACTGGTACAGTACAGTATGGTTCGGTATGGGTCACCTTTATCAGGCATGCGTTTCCACTATAAAGGGTCCCCTTTTGGTGGGCGTGGTGTGCGACAGAAAGTTTCAGTCGCATCATTCTCACTCGAGAAAATGTCTACAATAAAGCTGCACAGGTCGTTCACATATCATATGAGAAGCACTTCTCACAAAACAGATGCTTTACACACATAAATACTTGTGTATGAATGTTTATTACTAACATTTCTATAAACATGAGTTGATTGTAACTGCAGATCAATGAATAGTCTACCGAAACGTCTGCAGTTATATAAAATAAATAAATAAATAAACATATATGAACACACACAGCCCCCTTACAGTCTCCAATATGTTATCAACTACAGAAAAAGTACACACAGCAGACATTTCGTTCCTAATTAGGTTCAAAACAACACAAAGTACAGCCTACAGTCAGAGCAAACCTCTCATCTGTGTCTGTAATCTTCAGCAGCACATGAAGCCTCTGTTAGAGAGTCCTTCCATCATTCCCAGTTCATATTAGTCCAAAAGCTGATAATAAAGATTAAAACAAGGCAGTTTGTTCACGTTTGCTGGAGAAAAAAACATGGTCCTATTTTCCCGGCTTTTTTTTTTTCTGCGCTTCACTCTTGCGCTTGTCCTTTTCTTTCTGAATGTGTCACTCTTTAAATGTGTCAATGTTTGTCAGCTTCTCAAAGGATCGGGTTTCCAAAGCTTGTCAATAATCAAGCGCACGTTATTATTATCAGCTCAAGAAGTTTGTTATTTCAGAGACGCGCGGCGAGCTCAAGCAAGAAAGCGAAACCGCTCGCGCTTCAGACTGGCTCGTAAAAAAAACTATATGGCACAGGGTAGATTTTGCTCTACTCCATGGCTGTGTGGCTGTTCATTAACACGACAACAAGGTTTGTTTGAGCCCGGATTGACCATGGCTGCATATGTATATATAATTCCGCTGTAATCTCTCACTGTGTATTTCAAACATGGCGGGTCCTTTGTTTACATTCTGGCTTGTTGCGTAAGTGAATGACATAACTCTGTAAACCAACAGCGTTCAGCTGCGATTGTAGCTCCGCCTTTTGGTACCCTTTCTTGTGTTTGGGACCCTTTCGAAAGGGTGCCGAAAAAGTGGTACAGTACGGTTTGGTTCGGTACGCCTTTTGACAGTGGAAACGGCCATAAAAGCGTACCAAAGCGAACCGTACCATAGCACTCAGTGGAAACGGGCCAAAAGTGCCAGATCTGTGTACAAACCTGCCTATAGGTTATTCTGATAGTTCCACTCCTTTGGAACTGACAGTAAACTATTTTATCATTAAAGTGTCTAAAAAACTCAATGCTGCAGAAGACACGTGTGTAACTGTACCATAAGTCCATCAAACATTTGAAAAGATATTGTCTCATCTTGAGCTCATAAGTCGAGTATGTGAGTGTCTTCTCTACACACACACAAAACAGTTGTTGTCTGCTGCACCTGCTGTTATAGATGAACACAGAACTGTATTTACATTAAGAGTTTTCAGTTTTGAAGCTTACTGAATCTTAAATTTAATACACAATTATAGTTTTTCTGTTGTTTTAGGAAATGGCGGAGCTTAATCTTTGAAAGTTTAATACATTGTTTCCTTATTGTAAGTTTTATTTTTATTATTGGCTTTATTTTGTACTTTTGGATCACAAGAAGCTCTTCAGTTCGTTACATAACAGAACTCTTCTGACTGTTCAAAAGAAAAAGCAAAAGCAAATACAGCAGACTTGTTTCTTGATCTTGTTGTACCTAATTTGTATCGAACCGTGACCCCAAAACTGAGGTACTATACGTACCAAACAATATGAACACAGGAGCAAACATCACAAAATGACAAATTTTTTTTCAATAATTAAATTTAAACTGTGTCAATGTCATTATCTTCTAAGATGTGCAACAAACACCTCTGTTAAATAATTTTAAAAAAGTTAACATTTCATAACTCTACAAAGATCTGCATTTATATATTTTTAGTTTGAAGGAAGTTAAAGTGAAATTATTGGTTCATCATTTTGGATCGGCACACTTTAAATTAAGAAAATAACCCCTGAAACCAAAGGAGGTTTGGTAACGTAACTGTGGTAATAGAGATTCATTGTGATGAATGACTAAAATTAAGGTAGTACACATGATTGATGCTTTGGTGCCGCTAGTGGTTAAGAAAATGCAGGCGTTTTTCTTTAAGATGTTCTTTCGCAGCTACCGTAGTTCAGCAGATGATGGCTGATGCTTCTACTGGTAAGCGTGCTCTGAACACAGGAGTGAAAATATTGTAATTAACGTGTGTAACATGATTATTTTTGGATATATAAAAGAGTGATTGAGTTGTCAACAAATGTATTATGCTTCTACTAGATTTTAACAGCGAATATGTATTAAGAAATGCAACAATATTGAGCTTTGTGTTTCTCATAGTAAAAACTGCATGTTGCTATCATAGCATTGTATTATGGAATGATGCTTCAGTTCTGTCTGCAGTATATTGCCCTGTTACATATGATGTTGTTTGATTTGATTTGTTTCTCTGAATAAAAAGACGCTGAGAATCACTTTTGGAGGGTTTCATTACTTTAAGTTGGTGACTTGCAGCACAACTCAACGCAGAGGTCAACTATCCTTACACTGGCATTATTGTTGGATTAGATTTTTTTTTTTTTCTTTCAGTAAATCTGTTAGTTCACTCATTTAAATACATATTGTAATACATTATTAGTTTATCCAATGAGTAAATCACTTTGTTTTGCATAGTCGATTTATGTTTAATTTTCTAAGCTACATTAGATGATAGCAATGTAAAAATCCTTTAATTGACAGCAATGTCAACTACCAGGTAGAATGTGGTACCTTTTAAAAACATTTAAAGGACGTGTCCTGAAATGATCAATCAAAATGCACTGTTTCAACAATTCTATGTTATTATTACTAGTATTATTATTATTAATATGTGTTGTATTAACGTTAGGAATTGTATTAGCTTTAATGAACAGATCATCCTTTCATTGCTGATGTAATACACATACTGTATATTTTTAATATATGCGTTTTTTATTTGGAAAGAGTGTACAAGCTGAATTAACAGATTAAAAACAAATCAGAATACTACTTAAAATAAACAAAAATAACAACTGATCTTTCACAAGACAAAGTTTGCTTTAACTGCATGTGAGTCCTTTTCGTTCATTAAAAAACACACCTTAGGTTTTTTATTAACAAACATCGATAATACTGGCCGAACTTCCGTCGATATTAAATCCAGCATGGTTTAATTCACGTTTACTTTCTAAGCAAAGTGTGGACTAGTCATGAATTAATAAAGCATGTTTATTGTAAACTGTTACTTACTGTCATGATGCGACATCTCTGCTTCAGAATTGTGACTGTGGTTGTCCAATCAAAGAGAAAAATATGCGTCGTTCAATAAACAGTGTGTGATTGATTCAGCTCGTCATCCCACTCCAGCAGATAAAAACGTGAAGTTTAGCCTATGCGTGAAACATAAAATAATATTAAATATAATAAAATTGCAGCACAAAACATTAAAACAAGGCAAAAGAGTGAAGATATTCTAAAGTTAGTTTCTATTAAAAAAAAAAAAAAAAAAAAAAAAACACTAAATAAATCGTAAAGCCATTTTGATTTGATTTGCCTCGTACCTAAAATTTATACTGAAAGTGAAAGAAGTCTGACTCTGGAACTACTGGCCTGTGCCCTCTATTGGTTAAAGAAAAATCACTATTTAAATATATATATATATATATATATATATATATATATATATATATATATATAAATTAGTTGAAATTTTGTAGGTTGTAATGTATTTTTCCAATATTTAGCTTGAATTTAAATGTATTATTTTTCTATTTTGAAATATGTTTGTGACTAAAATATTATTGTAATAAATATATCTGTTCAATTAGTCAGATTTGTTTAAATGCACCAAAATACATGCCTATATTCACTAAGAACTTTTCAAAATGGGCTGTACTCAATTATGCTGACCACTGTATATATTAGTATATTTATTGGGTATCTTAAATTTGGAGGTGGCTGTTCCAAACTCAGCTTGTAAAAATATTTTCTTGAACAGATTTTGTAAATTTGTATCTGACTGTTGATTGTGAAGATCAAGGTAACTTATATAAAATGGTTGGTTTACATTTTGTTCATCTAATTATTCACCTTATTCTGAATAAGACTCCTTTAATTAAGGTGCTTGCATGAGTTGCTTTTATAAGATTTCTTTTATGTTCTCATTTCATCAATGTTATGACAAAAACAAAAATCTTTTGTCAGCTCAATGCCATTAGACACTTTCTCCAGACATTTCAACTTACAGTTCATCTTTATGGTACTGGTTATGGGTGTTTTACATTTATTTCACAATGCTACATGTGATGTATGTAAAGTTTTATTTTATTATTATAAGACCAAATATATGATGGTGTACAATTTCTTGCTCAAAATTCTTCCCTTGTTTGTGGTCAACATTGCTGTGTGTGCATTCACAATTGCAAAATAGAGCAGATACTGCGACTTATATTTAACTCTAGATTATCTTAATCTGGTATGTTTATAATTTAGAATGGATTAAGGTCATCAAAAAAATCTGTGTTTACATACACATTTTTTATGTTGAATATCTGGTTGTTACCCCCGATTACCCAAGCATTACAGTTTGTTCCCTCATACACATATGTTTATTATACTTATACTGTACTTACAGAAGAGTACACCGTTATTTCACTGTACCTATGTGGTGCTTTGCTGGTTGTAATCCAAAGCGATACCATTAAACCTTTATTTTCACCTACAGAATTTAGAAAGGTAGAAAAACATACATTATTTAAAGATGTTGCCGTGTGATGAGGGGAATTAGAGAAGAGGGGGTTCAGGTGAATCATTTGTGTTTATTGTGGGGGTGGGGGGACGCAGTTTTGGTAAGAGTAAGTATCCAGTTGATGATTTACAGATTGAAGTTAGAGCAGTTTCCACACTGCTGAAGCACATAACATATATAAAACATGTACAGTTACACAGCATTCTTACTAAAGTCAACACATTTTGATTTATGTTTATAACTGCCATTTACAATTATTAGTTGCTTGATTCTGTTATATAATATTTATGAACCCATGCATGGGTAATTATTTTTAAATGTTAATAGATTAATCAATAATTAATTTAATAGAGAAGTCATTTGAAAATCAAATACTTTGACTCAAGTACATTTGAAAATGAGTCGTTTCTACTTTTAATTTAGTTTTATTATCTGCATCTTTACTTTGCACAGGTTCTTGATGTGTGCACTGATAACATGTTGTGCAAAACAAACTATTATGTCAACAACTCATTATTTACTTACAAGAGCAAAGTTTACATTTCTACCCTTCCCCTGTTTCATGTGTGAAAGCAGAATTGTTCAATAACTGCATTAGTACAGCATTCTGCATCTGAATATTATTTTGGGAGTAACATTAATATCTGAAATTTGAGATCAGCATGTACTGAAACACCACGACTGACCAGTGACAGAAGGCATATGCAGTAAACTATACAGAGGCTGCAGCCTCACATTTATTATTATTTTTAAATCAAAGTTTTAATAGCCATATATTGAGAGCAATTATTAAAGCTGATTAATATCCATTTTATTTTTAGACACATGTAAGTGCTCACTGTGGACATTATCATACATCATACATGATCACATGTGTAAAAGTTATTACATTGGTTTCAAATGAACATGTGTTTTATATATGGCATGTGATTTAAACATGTTTATTTAAAGATGTTTTCCTATCGAAATACATCCAGTGTTGACAGAATCTCTCGTATATTATCATTCTACTTTTTATTTGTGTCATTTTTAAAGAAGTTCGATACACACTTTTTTTGGTTTTGACAGTAATGTTGAAATGTGCATGTAAAAGTGTTTTACTGTCTCACTTTCTTTGTCAAAGTTCATTTGAAGTACAAAATATTCAGATATTTATTTATTCACTTATTTATTTATTATTTTACAATTACCCATTATATTCCAATACCATAGCAGTGTCATTTTATTATTTAATATGCAAACCTGTTACCATCAATAGCATTGATCATTTGCAGCATTTCTACATGTGATAAACATAAAAGAAGTCAGTGTCACAACATTAGACATCATCAAAATGTCAAATAGCTGTGTTAAATCCACTCTTAAAGACCCCTGATGAGCACATGCATGTCTCTTATTCCTTCAATTTTCTCTTGAATTTTTATGATTTTTTAAATATAATTTCTCTATTTAAACAGTTGTTTTGATTATAAGTAAAACATAGAGTAAAACATTTATTACTGTCTGAAAAAGGGTTATTTAAAGAGAAATCTTACCTGCCTGGTGTGTCATTTTATCTCCTCAGTTTTGATTGAATTTTCACTCGTTTCGGGTGAAACTTGAACTTTAATCAGTCCAGTGAGTTTGTGTATTTTTACATGCGCACTTTGTGTGTGACTGCCTCATTCAGTCAAGAGTAGCACTGATGCTCACACAGACCCGTCAACTTAAATGTGACATATTAAAGGAGTGCATTAGAGTGCATTGACTAAAAAGGATTATTATTCTCTGACATCTACACAGAAGCTATATGCCTTATATTCTTATTTATATAAAGAGGAATTAGTGCTAGAAGCACAAGCTCCATATTGCCTATATTTGGAACATTTATGAATATTAATGAGCTCATCATGACAGTGTAGTTCTAACCCTGCTCCAACACACTTCCTGTAGGTTTCAGACAAGACTAAAGAACTCAATTAGTGCTATCAGGCGCGATTGATTAGGGTTGGAACTAAACTGTGCAGGGCTGCGGCCCAGGAATTGAGTTTGACATCCCTGATCTATGTATGAGTGTATCTATTTTACATTGCATTTGTTATGTAGTACCAGACCTTAATTTAGGAGTCAGAATTTTCAGATTAATACAGGATTTATTGATTTTGTTTTGCAATACAGATGATTTTGATGGGCGGCACGGTGGTTCAGTAGTTAGCACTGTGGCCTCACAGCAAGAAGGTCACTGGTTTGAGTCTCGGCTGGGTCTGTTGGTGTTTCTGTGTGGAGTTTGCATGTTCTCCCTGTGTTGACGTGGGTTTCCTCTGGGTGCTCCGAATTCCCCCACAGTACAAACACATGCGCTATAGGGAACTGTTCAACTAAATTGATCGTAGTGTATGTGTGTGTGTGTGTGTGTGTGTAAATGTGAGAGTCAGTGTTTCCCATTCCCATAATACTGGGTTGCGGCTAGAAGGGCATCTGATGCATAAAGAAAAAAGTTCAACAATATGAGGATCCTTACAGTCTCACAAATGATCTTTACATATACTTCTCAAAATTTGATCATCCAAATGGGTCCAGCGTCAACAATATAGATATAGTAGGAACTGAGACTCAGTCACAGACCATGAGCATACAGGAAAGAGAGGTTATCGCAGTGCCTCGTAACGTTAAATCGCACAAAGCATCTGGTCCAGATGGCTTGAAGAGTAAAGTTTTAAGAGTGTGCGGAACAATTGGATTATGTGTGCACCATAATTGTATGGATCAGTTGATTGTATGGATCAGAGAGTTTTTAAACAACCGACCATAACGTGTCTGTGTTAATCATGTTATGTCTGACTGCTCTGTTTTAAATAAAGGGGTACCTCAGGGATGTGTATTATCCCCTATTTTATTATTTATATATATATATATATATATATATATATATATATATATATATATATATATATATATATATATATATATATATATATATAATGAACTGCAGTGCAATAATGATGATAATCTCACTCTTATAAACTATGCTGATGATCTGGCATTTCCTGTCAGGAAGAAATTAATAGCTCCTTATATTCTAAATATATTAATAATATTACAGATTGGTTTGACAAATGTTCATTACTTCTTAAAATTGGAAAAACCAAAGAGCTATGTCGGGGAAGTCAAACAAGAGCAGTAGATACTAGACTTTACAAACCAGTCATCATAAATGGACAAACAGTAGAGCACGTCTAAAATTTTAAGTATTTGGGCACAATTATTGACAATAAACTGAATTTTAATAGTAATGTAGAGGCTGTTAAAAATGAAGGCAAGTCAGCGCCTCAGTCTCCTCCTGTCACAGTCACACAATGAAGACAAGGTTTTCTTCATTGTCTTCTGGTTATCTCTTTTCGTCAATTTATTTAAAAAAAATGTGGATTGTTCAGTGGGAGAAGCAGGCGAGTGATATTTTTCAAATGAGAGCAGCCTTGTAACCAGTTCAAAATGTAAACAAGAATCTTCATTCAATCTAAGTATAAAGGTCCGGGTCTGTGGAAGGAGGCGACACAGGGTCAACATGGTGTTTGAGCAGGGATACATGAAAGGTGGGTGCAATATGGTATTGAGAATGGCGGTGGAGATGGAAGGTGTATGGGTTGATCTGGGAGTGCACAGTTAATGGTCCTATGGGGACATATGTGCGGCATTGCAAACAGAGGCGGATGTCCCTGGTGAAAAGCCATACCGCGTCACCCTGCTGATAGGCAAAATTGGGGAGACTATGACAATTGGCGGTGTTAGCTACTGCCTGGTGCAGATGGACATGAGCTGAGTCTCAAATCCTTTCGCTCTCTCAAAACCAGTGACCTATCGCGGGCACTTGTGGGGACTGGAGGAAGATTGTCAAAGGGAATTCTGTGCATACTCAGCCCACGGTAGATACTGGCTCCAGGTGTTCTGATATTGCAAGCAGAACATCTGGAGATACCAGGAAATGTCTTGGATTTTAAGCTCAGTCTGACCGTTCGTCAACTGTACTCAAATTAGCACTCAATCAAATGTAAGGGTTACTGTTGCTCACAGAAAAGTGAAACATCAGACTTACACAATTTGACAACACAACTTAAAATACATTAAACTAATATCACGGTCCCACTTTATATTAAGTGGCCTTAACTAATATGTACATACACAGGAATTAATAGTTTGCTGCAATGTACTTATTGTGTAAATACATGTATTACTGTGTACTTAAGCTTGATTAAATACATGTATGTAATTACATCTGTAATTAACTTTTGTAAGTACATTTGTACATACACTGTTGACCATCCCTTACACCTTAACCCACCCTTAAACCTACCCATGCCACCAAACCTGTCCATAACCCAACCTCTATCCCTACTCAAAAGCACCACGTGTTCTTAAATGCATTATAAACACAGTAAGTACATTGTATTTATTTTTATTTTTTATTTTATTTTTATTTTTGTATTTTTTTGATTTAAGTACAAAGTAGTTAAGGACACTTAATATAAAGTGGGACCAATATCACAACTAAGAACCAAATACAAGAACTAGACAATACAAACAAGATGAAATACTAAAACAATAAAGTGTGGTGTTACTAAAGCAGTCAGCACTAGCAACACCACAAAATCAACAATATGCAAAAAAAAAAATAAATAAAAACAAATAAATAAAGGAAACTCAAATTACAAGCAAAACGTTTAAACAATACCAAACTTAACCACCCTATACTAGAGGTGACATGCACGACCGTTCGTTCATTGTATTCACCAGAGCTCCAGATCGCCTCAGGAATGGTGTGGATGCTACAAATAACGTAACGTTAATCACACAGCAGATGGAGGATCTCCATTAAACAAACAGTATTAGTCGCAGTCATCAAAAAGTGATTAAAAGCACTTGATTTAAAAGCAAAACAGGGCAGAAAACAATAGAGGGACAGAGAACTAATAATTACAGAGATTCA